GGTTCCCTTTGGTCCGCTGCTTGTTCTTCCCGCCCATGGTCGCGATCTCCGCCACCCTCAGCCGCAGCCCCCGGGTTGACACTGCCGGGCCACAACTTCCGGCCCTGCCTCCGGAAGCGGTCACACAACAACTTCCGGGCCCGCCCCTTCCGCCCACCCGGTCTTCCTGCCGCCCCTCTTCCGCTCCCGCCCTCCGCCCCCCGCCTCCCGCCGCGGCCCTGGCTGCCTCCCGCGCCACCTCACAATTAGAGCCACGTCTCTGAGTGACGTCACCGCTGCCCAATAGGAAGCCGCGCGTGGGACCGCCGCGCCGACTCCCCTTCCCGGGCTGCAGGCGGCGAGATTGGTTCCGGCGGAGGGGAGGCTGCAGGATGGTTGCAATGGGAAGGTGGCCAGGGCAGTGTGAGACCTTTGGAAATGCAGTCGTCAGCATCATCTGAGTGTTCGTTAGAAACGCAGGCTAATAAATCAGATTCTGCATTTTAAACAAGATTCTCAGGCCACGTTAAGTTTGAGAAGTAGTGCTCTAGGCCAGTGGTCGGCAAACTGCGGCTTCCAAGCCACGTACAGCTCTTTGGCCCCTTGAGTGTGGCTCTTCCACAAAGGGCCACGTGCGGGCGCCCACGTACAGTGTGATTGAAACTTCGTGACCCAAGCACAGAAGTTGGTTTTCGGGTCTCTATAGAAATTTCAATAGTTGTACTGGTGATATTTGGCTCGGTTGACTAATGAGTTTGCCTATCACTGCTCTCTGCTCTCAGCAATATTCCCTCTAAATTCCCACCTCTTCGTATAACTGTAACGTGCAGTTTTAGAAAAGGGGGTGACTGTAGAAGTATGTTATATTTGAAATGTACAGATCTTGTAGTTCGTGCTTTTGCATCTTAAAATGAGAAAAAGCACCTGTTGCTGGTTATGGACTCATGTCCACATTCCCCCTTTTGACACTGAGCTTGGCAAACTCTCCTTTGACTGGCTCCTCAGCTGGCACTGGGAGACTGGACCAGAACACATCAGGGACAGCTCCACTGGGTTAGCCTCTTGGGTCAGACTCCTGCCCTGTAAACTATCAGACCAGCCTCATTGCACCCTTGGGAGCCAGATGCAGCTAGGCACCACCCTATCTTCAGGGTTTTAAACTAAGCCCTGTCAGGGCCACCTCCAAACTACTCTGATCGCCAGCTTTCTTTTCCTTCCTTCCTTCCTTCCTTCCTTCCTTCCTTCCTTCCTTCCTTCTTTCCTTCCTTCCTTCTTTCCTTCCTTCCTCCCTCTCTCCCTCCCTCCTCTTGCTCTGATACAGTGTATGAGAGGGGTTCATTTCCCCCAGTTGCTCGTGGAAGTGGGGTTCTTGGGGTACTTCTAGAATAAGCATTTCCAGAGACCCCCATGAGCGGATGAGGTATAGTAGAAAACTTTATTTTCACAGAATTACACCTTTGGATTTCCAAAGTCCCATTTCCCTTAGTCCAGTCATGGAAAAGGGGCAGGTTGGGCTTCGTTAGGTCTAAATCAGAGCCAGTGTCCAGAGTTTCCTTTCCATGTTGGAGCAGAGTCCAACCCAGCATCAGGCGAGGTGCAGTCCATGAGTCCACATGGCTATAGAGGAAACATGGGCAAGAGCCAAACAAAGCCCCGCAAACCGATGGCGAGGAGCAAGATTGAAGAGTGCCTGTTTAGGGGGTTATACATTTCCAAATGTCCACACGCTTGCAGTGGCCATGCTCTCTCGCCAACCATCTGTCTCCAAGTGTGAGTGGCAAATAAGTCCCCTCCTAGACCACCACAACCTTATCGGACCCGTTTCCCTTCGTTGGATCCCTTCCCCCAGTGTCTTCCAGGAATGGGCAGGTGCTCCCTGAGCAGTGTGATTGCAGCGTCCTGGTGAAGCTGCCCAAACGACATGCCTGTAAGTCTGCCTTCCCTTTCTCCTCTCCAGTTATCAATAACTGCTAATAGCAATGGTATCACAGGGATTGTAGCTGCTGCTTCAGTGCTGACCTCTGTTACCTCTTTTGGCTTTTAAAATCCCTTTAACCAATCTCCCACATTAATTTTTTAACATATCCTTATTGCTTCCTGAGTGGGAGAGGGAATCACTGATTGCCCCCCTGCACGCCCCACACCAAATACGCCCCAACCCAGGCATATTTATTTCCTGTTAAATAAGTAGTAAAGTGTTTTCTAAACCAGATGGCATCAGGTTTGCTAGGTTGTGCTTCAGTGGGAGGCTCGTGGTGCCCCTGGACAGAGTTTCTATGGGCTCAGTTTATCCTAGATTGTGTAATCAATGTGTGTGTGTGGGGGGGGGGGGAGGGTGTTAACACCCAGCATCTGTCCTTAACTCTAAGCTGCCTTGCAGTTTTACAGAAACTGTTGGATTCTTCGAAAACCTGAAACATGGATTTCTTAAACAGATAAAGCTCTGTAACAGCTGTTTTTACACAAATACTGAAAGTAGTAAGTTTTTAGTGCATTTTATCAAATTAATGTGCAGATGATAAGATTGGCTTCCACTTTTCAAGTTCAATGGATCTGGATTTGTGGGATTGTTATAATTTTTAAATTTTGTTTTGCTTAAAAATACTATTGCCCTAGCTGGTTTGGCTCAGTGGATAGAGCTTGGCCTGTGGACTGAATGTCATATGTCAGGTTTTAGGCTCGATCCCCAGTAGGGGGCTTGCAGGAATGATTCTCTCATTGATGTTTCTAACTCTCTCTCCCCCTCCCTCTTTCTCTCTGAAGTCAATTTAAAGATAAGAGTAAAAAAAGAGAAGAATTAAAAACTAATAATACTATTGTTGCCCAGCCAGTGTGGCTCAGTGGCTGAATGTTGACCTCAGAACCAGTTCAATTCCTGGTCAGGGCACATGCCCATGTTTTGCCCTGGATCTCTGGTTGGGGAATGTTAGAGGCAGCCAATCCAATCAATGATGTTTCTCTATCACTCTCCCTTCCCCTCTCTCTAAAAATCAAGAAAACATACTTAAAAAATAGTTCTATTGTTTGTATAGGAATTACTTTTATAAATAAAAGTGAACATGTAGCCAATGTTTTCTGCTCACACTGTTTTCTATAGATTTTTAACTTTTAATCATAAGTTGATTTGGCACTAAAAGTTTCTTTTAAGGATAACACTTTCTTCATAAATGATTCCAGTTCAAGACATATTATCAGGATAATACATAGAAAAATTGTCATTATGGAATGAATATATATATTGAAGTTTTACATTTAAGGATCTTTATATTAAATATATATTCATTTTTAAAGTCTAAGGAAGCCATATTGCTCTAACATTTAACTAGTTTCTTACAGCTTTTATTGTGTCTCTTACCTTAATGTATGTAGGACCATCTAACTTGCTGTTTTCTTTTTTGCTGACTAGTACTCACACCCATTTTCAAAGGACTTTACTAATCACAAGATTGGAACATCTATATTCTCTTTGTCATTCTGTCAATAATCCAATGTCTAAATTTGATAGGTTTGTCTTAAGAAAGAAAACTAATAATATTTTATTATATTCTATGTGGTTTTTGTTACACTTGAGATTTGTATATTTGTACATAGCAGTGTATTTTTAATTAAAATAATGTACAGCCTGGCTGGTGTGGCTCAGTGGTTGAGCATCAACCTATGATCTAGGAGGTCATGGTTCAATTCTGGTCAGGGCACATGCCTGGGTTTCTGGCTCAATCCCAGTGTGCAGCATGCAGGAGGCAGTCAATAAAATATACTCTCCCATTACTAATGTTTCTATTTCTCTCTCCCAAATCAATAAAAACATTTTAAAAACGAGATTGAGCTCAGTTCATGCCTTACATTTCTGTAAGGTGAATTCAGGAACAGAGCATTAAGTATACAAAAATATAGCTGAAACTGGCTTGGCTCATAGAGCGTTGGCCTGCGGAGTGAAAGGTCCCAGGTTCGATTCCGATCAAGGGCATGTACTTTGGTTGTGGGCACATCCCGAGTGGGGGGTGTGCAAGAGGCAGCTGATCGATGATTCTCTCTCATCGATGTTTCTAACTCTCTATCCCTCTCTCTTCCTCTCTGTGAAAAATCAATAAAATATATATATTAAAGAAAAGGAAAAAAATATATATATGAACTGCAAACTCTAAGAAATACTTCATGTATTAGTATATCAAATGGTTGGGATAGAATAGAAACTAAAGCTCTGAAAATATTTGGCAAACAGCTTTCCACTGCTAATAAGTGGCACAGAAATATAAATAAGTTGGTTTTTATTTCATAAGTAGAGGCCCGTGTAGGGTCTAGGTTCCCTAGGCCTGGCCGGTGATCAGGGCCATCCAGGGCCTGCCTTCATTCCATGCCTCCCCCTGGTGGTCAGTCACATCATAGTGAGTGATCCAACTCCTGGGGGAATTCCCAAGGGGGCACTATGCATATTAGCCTTTTATATAGATAGATAAGCTGTCTACAGCAAGGCTGGTGCTGTGTCAGCAGCTCACCACAGGCGCTGACATCTTTGTGGTTCTCCTGGCCTTCTTGCCCTCGAGCTTGAGGGGCTATGCAGCTCCAACCATCGGCCTTGGTGTTGCAGCAAAAAGAGGGGGAAGTGCTCTTGCTGTGCCAATCATGTTTACCAAGAGAGCAAAAGTTTTACCAGGCAACCCATAGCCAAAGCCCTGTCCACAGGCCAGCTAAGCTTTAAGAGAGGCTTGGAGAGCGGATGGAGGCAGGTAAAGGGCAGGGGTTAGAGAATGAGTGGCAAGTTGAACTACCAATATTATCTAACTCAAGTCAAATTCATTTCTCTTTCAAAATGGGTAGGTATGTCAAGTTATTTCTGTCAATAAATTTAAGATTATAAACTAAGACTCAGTTCTGTTTTCAATCAGAACATATTTTTAACAGATGCACTTTAGCTATGCTACTTTTTCTTTTTTTTAACCCATAACATTCTAGAATGTACGAAAGGAAACTTACTTAATGGCCAACAGTGACAATATACTTTCAATGACTCCTCTACTCAGCTACTGTCCTTCCACGCCAAAGAACATCTGGAAAACATCCCCACATCCACTGGCATTTAAAAATTGATACAGTTGACCAAAGTCCATATGGTTTCCTCTGGCTCCACTAACACTGAACACTTTTTCTTCAAAAACTGAAAATTTTCTCCATCTTTCCATTTCATCATTTGTACCATCCAAAGGAATGTCTTCTCGATGGCGAATCAAAATTCTCTTCCAGTTTAATTTTTTGAGTCTGAAAAAAAATTTTCAAAGTAGAAAATTTGAAACTGTACTGTGCATTCTAGAACACTGAAAACATTATTTTCCCAGGAAGGAAGAAATCTAGTTTATCTCAGGGATTTATTTTAATCAAATGTGATTCTGGTCATAATCCTGACCCCAAAGTTATTTGTTGCATTATCACTGACACAGAAAGTGCTAATTCTCAAACTCCCAAAAGGGACTCCTCAGAAACTCATTGAGGGTACCATTAGAGAAATAAGAGGATTAGAAATTCCCAAGCTTCACAGGGAATACACAGCTTACGATGAGGAAGCATCATATCCATGGGAATGGAGGGCCATGACTCAACATCTCTTTACAGAACCCTCCCATGTACACTGTCTGATGAGGGAAGTGATGTGATCACATGTGAGTTCTACTTTGTCTACTGACTTGAGACTGAATTCCCCTGACACCACCCAAGGGAATGCTTATTTTTACGTCCCTAGGATCTAGCTGAAAGCTGCGATTATTGGCACAGCACACAGTTTGTGAGAGTGCACCCACCTTGACCAGAATTCTTCACAAGCATCCTGGGGGCCTTCCACACAGACCACGCCTGGCTTCCCAGGCATGCTAAACCCTGACAGGGTAAGCTCCTTCGCCCACTGCAGAATGTCCTTCCGTTTGCACTTGTTGTAGATGTGATGGCTATAGATCCAGAGTCTCGTGAGAATGACACGGACAGGCTGGACTGTACTTCCCGGAATGGGGGGAGGGATGGGGTCTCTGCTGACATAGCCAGAGGCATGTTCTCTAATCCAGTCGGTGGCATTCAGTATACAGACATCTCCTAGGCAATTCCTCTGTAGGTATGTGGTCAGATCTGTGTTCAGCTGAGTCTGCTGGGATCTACTTAATAATACTGACCTGGTTTATATGGAATAAAACATTAAATCAATTTTCTTGTAACAGAAAATAAACTCAACAATTGCTATTATTCTCCAATTAATTTTGACCTTAAAAGCTAGCCAGTTCCTGTAACACACCTGACAGTGATTTCAGGCAGAACTGCAGGGTATTCAAAAGGAAGAATACAGGCCAGAGAAAACATCACCTGATCAAAAGAGAAAGAAAATGCCCTCAGCGTTATGTCTTGTCTTGTTTCAATTCTCCCAAAAGCAAAGCTGAATTACCACTGTGTCCGCAGACATGTCCAGGTTCATGTTGATAGTAAAGTAAACTTTTGAAGATCGGCCCTCCATCGTCCTCTTTTCAATGCAATCTTTCAGTTCTGCTACAGCAAGCTGGTCATTCACTATGAGCTCATTCTCACCAGGGAACATGCTGGCCAGCAGGTCTAACTCAGAGAGCTGGGCCTCAGCCTGCTCAATCTCAACCATTTTTGGATATCTGCAAGTTTCTAAGGAGGTAAGAATAAGCGACAATTAACACATACAATCTTAGGATGAAGGGCATTTATTAGATTAGTACCCTTAATTCAATAGATTAAGCTTACTTATTTAAAAAGTATTTGATTTCTTCAGAAAATGTGAAATTTAATCAGAGTATCATTCCCATTATTCTACTTTGTAATATGTGCATAATAGATGTAATATGTTAATATGAGACAATCCAGTGCAAACAACAAACTCTAGTAACTACACACCAATTCCCACGTTTCGAGCTAGTTGATCCGGCATCTTGATCTATTTCATAAAAGTAACTGAAAACCGTAATCAAAACCCAAATCAATGACAGAGCCAGGAAAGAGGCTAAGACATGTCACCTTGGAAACCTAGAATGAACAGAGTAAGTAGAGCTAATTGTATGATGTTTTTTTTTTTCTTAATATTAAGTATATTAGTTTTAAAGGCAAGAGACTGGGAAAAGGGAAAATAAAGGCTGCTAATTATTCCACAGCTCAAGTAACCCCTGTCAACATTAAAAAAGTACAAGGTTGGAAAATTCAAGTAGTAGAGAAAAAAATTAAGATATAGAGTCCTGCTGCTAGTCTCTTCCCCTACCTACCTAAGTCCCCGATCCAAGGCAAAGAGTTTTTGGTGTTTCACATCCAAAAAAATTTTAAGCATTATACATAAACATAAATGGAAGATATATACTGATATAATCCTATCTAATAAAGAGGGAATATGCTAATTGATCCTCACACTGTAGCAATGATGGCGGCACCCACAGCTACAAAATGAGGGAATATGCTAATTGACTGCCCCACCATCAAAGATAGTGGCATCCACAGCCAATGAGGGAAAATGGTAATTGACTGCCCCACCCTCAAATATGGCAGTGGCCATGGGGCATTGCCTTTCTGATTGCCAGGTCACCTCCCACCCCTGAGGACTCCCGAACTATTAATATGAAAGGGGGCAGGCCAAGGCCCGAAGCAGCCAGGCCCGGAACAGCTCGCTCCTCTTCTGCCTCCGCCCCAAGGCCGCCTCTCAGACATGGCTGGAAACTTTTGGGGGAACTTGAGGGTCTGCTGAATCAAATGAGGAAGGCTTAGATCTGAATGTGTTAAGTCAGTATAGCACTGGGGTGTTGATCTGTGAGTGCCTTGTGTGGGGCCTGGATGAGGTTGGTTGATCTATTTGGAAATGTCTTTTGTGTGAAGTGTATCCTTGGGCATGTGGAGGTATTATTGATTTGAGAAAATGCTAAGTAACTGATTTACTATCTGAAAAATTTAAAGTTCTGACAGTTTAAGGTCTCTTGCCAAAAATAGGTTTTAAAGCTAACATCTTAATTTTAATGGAGAAAGGGAATGACAAGCCCTTCCCACCCAGAACAGGTAATCCAATTCCAACCAGCAGCTATGTTTAATCAATGTGTCTATTTACACTTGAATGGCTACACCTTTTGATAGCCTAAGGGCAAGTTTACATGTAAACAAGTTTGCTCTCAATTCCCAGGGCAGAAAAAAAAAACAAGGTTTAAAATAATTAGATTTTAAAATTTATTCTTAGAAGTGTAAAAGTTTATTAATTAAAAAAAAACAACAAAAAAAGGAGACTAAAAAACCTGATAAACAATAATAGCGGTTCATTGTAGTAGAGTCAGCGATATGGGAAGGGAGTGGACTGACTGTTGCGGGGGGGGGGGGGGGGGGGGGGGGGGGGACTGAACATAAACTGTGCACCTATGGATGAGGACAATGGGGGGTGGGGAGGGAGCGGAGGGTGCGGTGGGAACCTGGTCGAAGGGGGAAGAAATGAGGAACCTTTGTAATAATATGAACAATAAAGATTGATTTTTAAAAAAAAAAGGGGGGGGGGGACAGGCCAGGCTGAGGGACTCCCCTTCCAATGCATGAATTTTCATGCATCGGGCCTCTAGTATGTAAATATATGTAGAGTGAGATATATAAACATAAGTAAAATGTGTCCAAAGGGATGACACATACATCTCCCCCCACCCACTTCCTATCCCTTTTACCCCTCTTTGGAGATCTAGTCACTGTCATCACGTGGCAATCTAGCTCATTCTCTCTAGGGGTTGTCATCCTGAATCACGTAGGCATAATTTACTGCATTCTTTACCTTGGACATTTGGGTTGCTCCCACAATTTTGCTATTATGAACAATTCTGTAAAGAAGTTCATTTCATATTGTGAAAGAAAAGAGCCACAAGCTAACCTGACAAGCTCAGGGAAGGCCTGTGTGGCGGTTTTGCAAACCCAGAGACCTAAGATAACCACAAGAGATGGTCTGAAAATTAAATATCTAACAGGTTATAGTAGGTAGTCACGTCCCAGAGATTTCACCTGACAAAGATCAACTTTGATCTTTTACTGAGCCCCTCTGCCTTCCTGCATCTAAGATAACATATCTGCCAGATGTCTTGTAACTTCCTTTTACCCCGGACCCCTCAGGGCACAACAAATGGCCTCAAGACATTCCTCATTGTTATTGTTATCAAGTTAATTGTCAACTGTTAATTATGTTAGAGTATCCTGTATCCATCTCTGTGAAAGAAGCCCATGTCCATCATTTAACCTTTTACCCTATCCCAGAGGTTTCCCCCGCTTCACTCTGTCCCACCTCCCTAATCTATCACCAATGAAATTCATGTAACTCACTTACATCCCTTTCCTTTGATTGCAATGTATAAATATAGAAATGCAACCCGCCATTCTCCGGAGCATTATCTCAACCCGTTGAGGTTCTGCTTCCCGGCACATGTTGACAATTTTGGCTCAAATAAACTCACAAAAAAATTCTTTACAGGTTTCAATGTTTTTTTTTGTTAACAATATATACAGTTTGATGAATCATACACACTAGTATATATAATTTGGTGACTACATATTCAAGGGTAAGTTTGCTGAGATGGCTTGTTGGAACAATAAGTTCAACATTTAAAAACTGGGTAAAAATTACCAAGTTGCCTTCCAGAAAACTGCCATACAAAAGTTTGAATTTTTTAAAAAATAAATATTTTATTTGATTTTTTACAGAGAGGAAGAGAGGGGGATAGAGAGTTAGAAACATCAATGAGAGAGAATCATGGATCAGCTGCCTCTTGCACACCCACTACTGGGGATATGCCTGCAACCAAGGTATTATACATGCCCTTGACTGGAATTGAACCTGGGACCTTTTAGTCCACAGGCTGACGCTCTATCCACTGAGCCAAACCGGTTTCGACAAAAGTTTGATTTTTTACATAGTTCCCTCCTTTTAAAAAATAAATTTTAATACATTGTCTTGTATGTGTGCGTATGTGTGTGGCATTCAAACAGAGTTTGAGGGACATACAGGACTATAACAAAAAAACCTAACAACATTCATGTCATCCAAGTTCCAGAAGGAGAGAAGAAAGCAGAGCTGAAAAAGTACTTGAAGACATAATGGCTGAAAATTTTCCAAATATGTCAAAAGGCATAAAGGATTTCAAGAAGCTGAACATATCTCAAGCAAGATGAACCCACAGAAATCTATATCAAGACACATAGTCAAATGTCTGAAAACTAAAGACAAAGAAGAAAACCTTGAAAACAGCAAGAGATAAATGAGGAAAAATAATTCATGTAAGAAAGCATCTCTCATCAGAAACTATAAAGGCCAGAAGGAAGAGTCATAATATTTTCCAAGTGCTGAAAGTAAAGAAAAATTATCCCACAGTTTACATCCAGTGAAAACATCCTCAGGAATGAAAGGGAAATCAAGACATTCTAAGAGGAATGAAGCAACTATTAATGGTTGACTAAATATCATACAAGAAAGGAGGAAAAGACTTTTACTTTCCAATTCGGATGCTTCAATATAATTTGAAGTTTCGTGATTAGCCTGCAGCACTTTTAAATTTCACAAAAAAAAAAAAAAAAAAAAAAAAGAGAGAGAAAAATATTGCTTACCTTCTCAAAGAGAATCTACTCAGTGAAGTCAAACACCATTATTTCTATCAGCGGTATCCTGGGGGAATTCTTTCTCCTCTTTGGTAAAGTTTTATCAAGTAGCTACTATATGTAGAGCTTCACCCATTCTTCCTTACTGGAGCATTCTATTTACTTATTTAATATATTTTTATTGATTTCAGAGAGGAAGGGAGAGGTAGAGATAGAAACATCAATGATGAGAATCATTGATTGGCTGCTTCTTGCACGCCCCCTACTGGGGATGGAGCTGAAAACTGGGCTTGTGCTCTTGACTGGAATCAAACCCAGGACCCTTAAGTCTATAGGCGAGGCTCTATCCACTGAGCCAAATCAGTGAGGGAGATCCTTCTACTTAGTTTGAGGATCAGGACATTAATAAGATCTAGAACAATGAAGATGAAAAGACTTAGTGTTAAATGATCAGTATAAATATTATTACAGACATGGGAGTAAGATGAGGGCACCATCAATGAAATGGGCCACCAGAAACTTTGGGCAAAGGCCACAGGAGCTGAGCCTTGAAAGAAGGGTAAGACTTGGACAAGCTGAGTGGGAGGCATAATGGGGAGAGAGAAGAGAGGTCTGTGAGGCAGGAGAGCACAGAAAAATCACATAGCCCTAAACCTGTCCCTGCCTCACAACCCCAGCGACCAACGCCTACTCCAGAGGCTCATGATTTGGACTATTTTCCCTAGTGCTACTGACTTTGTGACCTAACCCATTTTGGCCTTCTTTCCTCTCTAGACAGCTGACTTCCATAGCCCACAGCACTCAACTCCTGAGCCTTTCTTGTGGCCAGGTTCAACCAATGGGCTGGCAGGAAGTGGGAGGATGGGAGGAGAGAGTCCATGGTACTTTGCCACGGTTCTCTGCTTTGGTGGGATTCTGACAATGGCTGGGACGGGCTAAAGACCACCCTTCTGCAGGCAGCACTTGTTCCTCATCTCCAGCAGACCTTTCAGGCCTAGTCAGTTCCTTTAAACTTGGCCACTCCTCTATGAACAATCT